ATCAGTCTTGAATACAAAAAATATGACAGGTATAAAAAAATGACAGAATTTGAATTCACATATTTACTATATCGGTATAAAGTGGAGATAATTGTTTGTATTGATGCAGCTGTATTTTTAGACAGTGAAGTACTAGGTGAGTTAGTGGTACAAAATACTAGGTGACTTAGTATGTTGTTGTTGTTGTTGTTATAGATTCAGCTACTCGGAACAAGTTCCAAGTAGCACGGGCTATGGTGAGCCCGGATGAAGCACAAGGTGAGATACTATGGGGACGGAATTGATTACTTCATCGTTGTATCTTAGAATAATGTATAGGTCAGGGAAAGGAATGGGTTGATCAGGAGAAGGCGCTAAGCCATTACGACTATATTTATTTTAGTTATGTATTTATTTTTTATTTATTTTTATATATATTTTTATATTTTTTTTATGTAAAGCGTTTCGGGCAAGTCCTTAATCTAAAAGATAGCACTACATAGCACTTGGGAGGGATCAGGACAGGGATTTGGGAAATTGAAATTGAAATAAGTTTATTGAGGTAAAATACACACAAAGGGATGAGGTAGCTCAAGTTATTCTCACCCCGTTCAGTACATCGTGTTAATACATACATATACACACATCACAAACAATAAACATATTACCAAACATTCTGAGATATAAACATATACATTTCCTGGGATTTGGGACGGGACGATGGAAAGGAATGGTTTCCAACCACTTGGAGGTGTCGGGGATTGAACACCGACCTGCATGAAGAAAGACCGTCGCTCTTCTGTCTACTACCGGTTAAATAATGTTTGACCTAATTGTGTATTTGCATGGGCTGTTTGCATATATTTAGTCTGCGAATATCAGAGACCGTTTTTTCAGGTGTTATGCTCGTGGATTCTATTACATGTTTCTAGGAAGAGTTTCAAAATGGAATTAGAATTTAGGAATAATTCTTTATAAGTGTAAATAGCACAAAAGAATGTGTGGAGTGAGTGTATGTTTAGCATGTTCAGGGATTTGAACAGAGGCGCTGCGTGCTGTCTGAACACAGAATTTGTTATATGACTTGAGAATGGTCCACAATCGACTTGAGAATGGTCCAGGACGGACCGAAACGTCGTCGTCCCTTCACCTTCTAGTGTGTGGTCTGGTCAGATTACTTTAGCCACGCTATTGTGACTCATCGCCTGCATACAGAATTTGTTATAGTTATTATAGCTGATTTTTGCTGGGTGATGTTGGGCTTTAGTTAGTTTTCAGTTTGTCGACACCCATGCGCAGATAATATAAGGTAGATAGGGATAGATTAGCGAGTACTGAAGAATGGGAATAGCAGATTGGGGGACACAATATTTTTTGAGAGTATACCAAGAGGTTTAAAGACTTCTTGACCATGTGCTGTAATGTGAGTACTGAAGTTAAGTCTCTTTATATACAAGCGAAGGAACTTTCCCTTACTTTTACTATCAATGTTTACATTGTCTCTCTCAATGTGTTCGATGATTTGTTTCCAAATAAGGTGTCTCCGTGGTGAAATTTCCAAATTCAGTCTCCGTGGTGTAGTGGTAAGACATTCGCCTGGCGTTCCGCTTTGTCATGGGTTCGTATCCTGGCCGGGGAGGATTTACTGGGCGCAAATCCTTAACTGTAGCCTCTGTTTAACGCAACAGTAAAATGTGTACTTGGTTGTAACAACGATTCTTCGCGGCGGGGATCGTATTCCAGGGACCTGCCCGAACGCTACGCGTACTAGTGGCTGTACAAGAATGTAACAACTCTTGTATATATTTAAAAAAAAAGAGGTGTAGTAGGCCTTTTCTATGTTTAGCTGTACAAGCTTGGATCACCCGCTCATCAAGATAGTTCTTGAGATGATTTGTCATGTGCTCTTCATGTTTCCTTTCACTTCTGTAGATCTGTTTGCAAAATAGAATAGTTTAGCCCCTTGTTATTATATTTAAGTGTTGGTGAGTGTCTTTTTACTAATTATTTTATAACTAGACCAACTCAATGTTTTTGTAATTTTCATGTATTTTGTTAATTGCGTTGTAAATAGCCCACCGTATGGAAGAGGGCCGATGTATTCCAGTTCATAAAAGGAAGAGCCGGTCATTAGTCGGCAATTACAGACCAGTGTCACTCTTGTTAATTACTGATACAATATTGACCACAATAATTAATCTCACCCCTAGGTGTTGCGTGTATACTCCAACACTTTATTACTCGTTCATGAAGCAGGTGACTAACTTTTACATATACATGAGAGAGAGAACGCCAACTGTTACAAGGCTCATTAATTAAAGCCTGCAGCAATTTCTTCCCGGAGTAGACAATGGCATCTTAAATTTGGGCCAGAGAAAACACAGGCGAAGATCATAACGAGACGGCAAGCCATTCACCCTGGGGGACACTCATATGAATGACTGAACTAAAATCTTGAGCTTAATGATGAAGTTGACATCTCGGCTATGAAGTTTGACCGTACAATAACCACGAACATATACGTGTTGAAATTGCACAGCAGGTAGGAGCAGCAGTCAAAAAAAGCTAACCAAACCCTTGGAATACTCACGCGTACCCTTGACTTTATGGTAAGGAAGGCAGTTGACCAGATCACACACTAGAAGGTGAAGGGACGACGACGTTCCAGTCCGTCCTGGACCATTCTCAAGTCGATTGAGAATTGACTTGAGAATGGTCCAAGACGGACCGAAACGTCGTCGGCCCTTCACCTTCTAGTGTGTGTGGTCTGGTCAACATACTTTAGCCACGTTATTGTGATTCATTGCCTGAACAAGGTAGGTGGTGATTCAATTATATAAACCTCTGGGGCGACCCCCAATTTGGATTACTGTATCCAAGCATGGAGACCCCATCTTCAGAAGGACATAGCTGTTCTGGAGAGAGTGCATCACCGGGCAATTAGCCGGTATATGATAATTGGACATCTTATTACTGAAGAAAAATTATTCCTCACAAGGTCCTGTTGTTGTTGTTATTTTAGATTTAGCTACTCAGAATGAAATGTCCATGTAGCACGGGCTATGGTGAGCCCGTAATTGAGTTCGGTTATTGCGATAACCTTGTTACTCTGATATTTGGGTCAAAGTTTTAAATGGAAGTGGGGTTTCCTCCTTTTTCCCTGTTTCTTTTTCGCTTCTGTTTTAGTCGTGTTCACAAGGTCCTAATTGTGGACTCTTATGACTCCACTCACGGGTCAGGTGTTCACGCTTTGCTCTTAAGAAAGTCACTGTGGTGGATAATGTTCTTGTGCTCTGTCTAAAGTTTACTAGTGCGAGCTAGTAGACTAAGACTAGTATCTCTTGAGTCCACGTATGAGTAACCATCCCGTGAGATAGGGATATTAGATGAATTCATGGCTAGCTTTTGATCTTGACACTGTGGTCTTTCATACAGAACACAGACGCAACTTGTGTGTGTGTACCTAACAACTTTAATAGAAATAAATTAAAACCAACATGAACCCTCAAGCCAGACTGTCGTTCAGCACATTCTTACCCGCATGCACACTCACTCACTCACTCACGCACTCTCGCAGTTGTAAATACAGGATGCCAACAGCCATTGAGTTAGAGAGCACACATGTCGAATGGATCGTTAGGTTGCGATGAGCTGGAGTTTACTTTCTATAAAACGTGTAGGCTACATAGGGGAGGGGAGGGGGGAGCGGTCGTCACCTAGTTACCTAGATAAGCAACAACAGCACAGGAAACCCTGCCTCGGTCAATCATTGTTTTCACTCTTGTCTTGTCACGCATGGAGGGCCCTCCCCTCCCCACCCTCTCTCGCCATTTTTCCCGCCTTCAAAATCACCTATTGCAAGTCGCCCTCCCACCTCTCTCTCTTTCTCTCTGTCTCTCTCTCTGTCTCTCTCTCTCTGTCTCTCTCTCTCTCTCTCTCTCTCTGTCTCTCTCTCTCTTTATGCAGTAATTACTACCTTTGTTGTACCTACTTCGTTTTTTAATAGGGTGGGGAGGTGGGGGAGGCGTCGACAAGCCGCCAGCTTCCTGTCCTCGTGGAGGCCACTAGGGTTAGTGCCCCCGCCCCCCCCCCCCTCGGGTAAATCAGGTGAAACATGACTGACGGAACTGTTTGTGGTAGCCGGCTTGCTAATCACACTATTGCCACTCTTCCTCCTTTCGCTGGCACTCGTCCTTTCCTTTCCCCACCTAACCTGTCTTCACCTTCACTACAACACCGACCCACACAGTTTGGAATGTATTATATATCAAACAAACAAATATCAAACAAACATTTGGAATGTATTATATATAAATTTACACTCAATTCTTATATTTACCGGAAAAGAATACGGTAGGTTATCTTGAGGTTATCTTGATGATTTCGAGGCTTTAGTGTCCCCCGCGGCCCGGTCCTCGACCAGGCCTCCACCCCCAGGAAGCAGCCCGTGACAGCTGACTAACACCCATGTACCTATTTTACTGCTAGGTAACAGGGGCATAGGGTGAAAGAAACTCTGCTCAGTGTTTCTCGCCGGCGCCCGGGATCGAATCCGGGACCACAGGATCACAAGTCCAGCGTGTTGTCCGCTCGGCCGTCCGGCTCCCACCCGAGAGGGATACATATAATAAACTAAGAGAGTTTGTTACGCTGTCTAGTTAGTTTAGCTCATTTATTATGCAAACTCATTCTGTGAGAAGTAATGCACCATATACTCATTAAGATTTCTCAACGTCAAGAAAGTCGCACTAAAGTGCACTTTACCCTAATCTACCAAAGAACCCAAAACAGAAAACGGGATACTAATAAACAGCGGGTTTGGCGGGTGCATGGAATAGACTTTAGGCCTTTGTTAATGAGGACGGGACGGATCCAGTGGGCAGAGAATTTTTTTATCTAAGTTTACACCCACATGCATGCCCACTATAGTAAACAAACTTGGTATACTTGGCCGGTATTTCTGGTAGATTACTTTAACATTCTTAAACGTTTGTGATACTAAATCTGTTTTATATTTTCAGATCATCCTTGACTGGAGGCAACGTTTGACGGTACTGTCCAGGAGCAAGGCCCGGGGTGCAGGGTGACCAATGGCGCCTGCTGACCTGTGACCAGCAGGACTTGGCCGGCACGCTATGTCCAGACCTCCACACACCAGGTACTGTAGTGTCCAGACCTCCACACACCAGGTACTGTAGTGTCCAGACCTCCACACACCAGGTACTGTAGTGTCCAGACCTCCACACACCAGGTACTGTAGTGTCCAGACCTCCACACACCAGGTACTGCAGTGTCCAGACCTCCACACACCAAGTACTGTAGTGTCCAGACCTCCACACACCTGGTACTGTAGTGTCCAGACCTCCACACACCTGGTACTGTAGTGTCCAGGCCTCCACACACCAGGTACTGTAGTGTCCAGACCTCCACACACCAAGTACTGTAGTGTCCAGACCTCCACACACCTGGTACTGTAGTGTCCAGACCTCCACACACCAGGTACTGTAGTGTCCAGACCTCCACACACCAGGTACTGTAGTGTCCAGACCTCCACACACCAGGTACTGTAGTGTCCAGACCTCCACACACCAGGTACTGTAGTGTCCAGACCTCCACACACCAGGTACTGTAGTGTCCAGACCTCCATACACCAGGTACTGTAGTGTCCAGACCTCCACACACCAGGTACTGTAGTGTCCAGACCTCCACACACCAGGTACTGCAGTGTCCAGACCTCCACACACCAAGTACTGTAGTGTCCAGACCTCCACACACCTGGTACTGTAGTGTCCAGACCTCCACACACCAGGTACTGTAGTGTCCAGACCTCCACACACCAAGTACTGTAGTGTCCAGACCTCCACACACCAAGTACTGTAGTGTCCAGACCTCCACACACCTGGTACTGTAGTGTCCAGACCTCCACACACCAGGTACTGTAGTGTCCACACCAGGTACTGTAGTGTCCATACCGCCACACACCGGGTACTGTAGTGTCCACACCAGATACTGTAGTGTCCACACCAGGTACTGTAGTGTCCACACCAGATACTGTAGTGTCCACACCAGGTACTGTAGTGTCCACACTGTGTGCTGTAGTGTCCACACCAGGTACTGTAGTGTCCACACTGTGTGCTGTAGTGTCCACACCAGGTACTGTAGTGTTCACACCAGGTACTGTAGTGTCCACACCAGGTACTGTAGTGTCCACACCAGGTACTGTAGTGTCCACACCAGGTACTGTAGTGTCCACACTGTGTGCTGTAGTGTCCACACTGTGTGCTGTAGTGTCCACACCAGGTACTGTAGTGTCCACACCAGATACTGTAGTGTCCACACCAGGTACTGTAGTGTCCACACTGTGTGCTGTAGTGTCCACACCAGGTACTGTAGTGTCCACACCAGATACTGTAGTGTCCACACCAGGTGCTGTAGTGTCCACACTGTGTGCTGTAGTGTCCACACCAGGTACTGTAGTGTCCACACCAGGTACTGTAGTGTCCACACCAGGTACTGTAGTGTCCACACCAGGTACTGTAGTGTCCACACCAGGTACTGTAGTGTCCAGACCTCCACACACCTGGTACTGTAGTGTCCAGACCTCCACACACCAGGTACTGTAGTGTCCACACCAGGTACTGTAGTGTCCACACTGTGTGCTGTAGTGTCCACTATTCCGTTCCACAGACCGGATACTAAAGGTCGAAATTGACTCATGTCTTAACACAATTCGTCTCTTGTGTATTTTTAATAAATATATTTGATTTGTATTAAGCAGAAAATCAGTCTGGTAAGAAGTTTTAATATCTAACTTACTGGGGTAATATGCTGTAATAAAATGATGCAGGTTAGTAATTGTCATTCACCATCATGTCGACTAACTTTACTGAGAACAGGTTGTGTCAGATCATGTAGTATGTGGCGTGATCTACACTATTCTATGGCATGTCATGGCATGTCATGGCATGGCAATGAATAAATGTTTATGAACATTAACACGGAAAGTTAACATGGAAAGTTTTTCCTAGTGTGGTTCTTCGTGATCAGTGTTCCTCGTGGATTTATGAGCTGAAAGATCTGGCCTCACAAATCCGCATCCAATATGGCAGTCCTTGTTTAAATATAGGAAAACCAAAACGCAGATATGGTATGTGGTATATGGACTGTGTGAAGGCATTTAATAAATGTAACCATCGAGTGATAGCTTACAATATGTGGTCCAAGGGAATATTACTACAGAAAGTACTGGATCAGTCATGTTCTGTAATGGATAAACAGTACTGTATAAGCATGTGGGCTGTGGCAAGCAGAAGCCTGACTGATTAAATTCTTAGAAGCCTTGCCTCATGCTGTGCTTGATGAATAAAATAACCCTCGGAGCTGATTGCAGGTAATACAGGTAATCCCTTTTGTGATCTCTCATGACGATTGTGGTCCCTCATGATTAATGCGAGTTTCATCATGATTAGTGTGGTTGATCGTGACCAATTTGGTTCCTCATGATTAGTGGGGACTATCACAATCAGCATGGTTCTTTATGATTAGTGGGGACTATCACAATCAGCATGGTTCTTGTGATCAGTATGGTCTCAGGACCAATGTAGTTCTTTATAGCCAGGGTATAATAAAATGTATGGTAGGTTTAGGTATTGTGGTGCCATGTACCGTTTAACAGTGAAGTATATTTTGGTGCACTGCAGGTAGCGGGTCTTCTGTGGCCAGTATTACTATGGTCTCCTCATCATGGGGCGTCCTCCTCCTCATCCTCTTCCCAGCGCTGGTTTCAGGTATGTCTCTCCACAGTGTAGCCCCTCATCACTCCGAGCAGGTGAATCTCACTGTCATCTTCTAGAAAATGAGTCTCACAAGGTGTCATGATAGGAAATAGTAATTACTTGCAGGAAAATTGGCCTCCCCACCATTCTCCGTTCCCCTGTTCCCTCATCCCCACCATCTCCAACTCCCCTGTCCCCTCATCCTCCCCACCATTATCCCCCCCCCTGTCCCCTTGTCCTCCCCACCATTATCCCCTCCCCTGTCCCCTTGTCCTCCCCTCATCCTCCCCACCATTCCCGTCCCCTCATCCTCCCCACCATTCTTCCCCACTCCCTTGTCCGATGCATTCCCAAATGATCTGATGTTCCCATCAGAAAATTGGGAACATCAAATGATCTGATGTTCCCATCACTGAAATATAAGAAAAACAGTTAAAAAACGAATTTTAAAACAATGAAAAAAAAAAAAAAAAACTATACCAGTACTCACAAAATGAATGGTATGGTAAACAACACAGCTCAATCCCAATGCAATGTCACTCAAAATAATTAAATCAAAATGAAAATAAATCGATATCTATGAAAATTCAATTTGTCAGTGCAATTGGAAACATTGAAATGGAATTGTAACATATTTAGTATAGTGTGTGTTGCTATTACGTGCAACAGATGGCGCTGTTTTTCAAAAAAAGCATGTTTTTACCTGTCACAGGTGTGGCATCAATATAGTAGGCATATAAAAACACACGCATATTCGAATGGAACGTTGTGTCAAAATTTCAAAGCAATCAGTTAAGAACTTTAGGAGATTACAGCATGTGTTGCTCCTACGTCCAACAGATGGCGCTGTTTTTCAAAAAAGCATGTTTTTTCCTGTCACAGGGGAGTCGTGTATATAGTAGGTATATAAAAACACGCGCCTATCCAAATGCAACTTTGTGTCAGAATTTCAAAGCAATCGGTAAAGACGTTTCGAAGATTTCCCTCACATGGAAAAACACATGAAATAGCATGTTTTTTTCCGTCACAGACGTAACATCTATATAGTATGTATATAAAAACCCACTCTGATGCGAATGGCACGTTTTATGAAAATTTCAAAGCACTTGGTGAAGAACTTTCGGAGATTAGCGATTTTGAACAGACGAACATTTACAGTTTTATTTATATAGATATATACATATACATGTACAGTATATAAATACTAATTCTTTTTTGTACAGGTGGCCCTCTGAATGCCACTGTGACACGTGGGGGTGTTGATGACCCCCTTGATCCACTTCATGCCCACTTTGAGGAAGTTAGCTCCTACAACAGTCTGGAGACAGATGGCTCCCTTCACAAGGTATATCCGATGCCTACCACACAACAGGAAAAAGAAAAGGTGGAGAAGTTTGACCCTTCCAGGTAACTCTTGGTGATAAGGCAGTCTAATGTACATTCTTATTTTGATCATTACAATGAATAACATAGACATGCACCTAATACAGACAGGTGCATGTCTGTATTACCTACCTTACCCCCCTATTGTCAACCCATGTCTGTTTTTTTAAACATCGCTGTTTGTCGACCTAATTGTATTTGTGCTGCGTTTTCAGCCATGTTCCCCCTTTTTATCTTTATTTTTTTTGTTCTCAACACATTTTATTCTTTATACTCAATTACTGTAGTATTACGTTTTAGTCATTAATGTTTTTCCTGCCCGAAACGCTTTGCGTAATAGTGGCTTTAGGCATTGTATGTACTAGCTCCATCTATTAATCAATCAAATTATGTAAAATCTCTTGTATGTATGTACCTTACCTGAATAAACATTATATTTTATTTATTTTTTTACTAGAAAAAATCAAGTAGATTTGTTAAACATGAAGTGGCCCTTACTAAAACCATGTTGTGAATTCTTGATTAATCTGTGTTTTACAAGATGCAATTGAATGACTTTTCTAATTATTGATTCAAGCAATTTTTCTGTAATATATGTTAAGCTAATTGGACAACAGTTCAGTGCAAGCAATCTTTTGCCCTTCTTAAAAAATTTACATAATATTTACAACTCTGTGCTTCTAGTACTCTGCTTGACTCTAATGATTTATTATATTCAGGACAAGGGCTCATCAAGCTCTTCCATACATTCTTTAATCTTATTATGGTCTTTAAAATACTGAGCAAATTAGAATTAATTAATCCAGACCACTTCTTTAAAAGTTTCCAGTGAAACTTCCATATGGGCAACAGCTTCAAGTTCAACTTGCAACATTGTAGGGCAGACAACAGTTTGTTTTTCTCCCATCGGGTAGTAAACTCGTGGAACTGTCAACCAACTGAAACTGTAAATACCAAGACAGTGCTTCAGTTCAAGAACCTAATATTATTTTATTTCTGATATAATTTTGGTTTAGTTTTATGCCATTCTTTACATAGTTATTTTGTTTTGCTAGGAGTGGGTACCAATCAGCATTGGTGGACATCTGGTGACTTTACCTTATGCACATTTGACTTCAGAAATCTTGTAATATTATGCATTTTTTTAATTTTGAATTATTCTACATCTCTATTAGACTGAACTACACAGCATTGCGTTTGGAAATAGATGAAGAACTAGATCGGTTGAGCAAACGTGAGGGTCGCTTTCTTGGAAAGAACCGTTTGCCGAAGTTTCTTTCAAACTTGGGCAAGTTCCTTGACTTTGAACAAGTAGTGAAGGAGATTGAGACATCCATCATGTCTAGCATGTCTTGCAATGCCTGCAAAGCTGGTAAGTGTAGAAGACTGCTCCTATACCAGCACTTGCTGTACTGTATTATACATATTACCACAAATATAAAAGAACATGCAGGCTGATTCATCCATCATCACTTATTTAGTGCTTGTTTGTAAAATTTTGTTTTTAGCTCCTCTACATTTTTTCAGCTTTATGGCTTCGAATATATAGCTGTTCAGTAGGTGACGTGTACTTTATTATGTTGATAATATTATTTGAATTTTCTAAATACGTAATAGTGCTCAGAGGTTTTCCTGTCTATATTGTATTGTGTAGTTTCTAGTAGCTTTTCCAGTGAGGGTGACTATAACGATCCCCCTGCTCTCTGTGCCTCTGTGAATGGGGTCTGGCTCTGGTCCCCAGTAAGCCAAACACGACATTTATGACTGACGTGACAGTAATGGGAAGCTATCTCAGCAATATAGCTTCAGGGAGCCATTAGATCTACCCCCAGAAAAAGTATTTGATAGAAACAAACTGATCTCCAAATATATATCCATCAAGAAATCCCCATCGCTATTTACACCTGCCACGCCCCTGCTTTTCAACAACTTCTCTTTTGCATTCATTCCTGACCCTAGCACTAATATCTCCCAGCATAACAACTTTCCTACCATCTTGTAGCTTCAAACCAATCTTCCACTTGATTCCAGAAGACCTCTATCTCATTGTTTCCTGTAACAGTCACCATACACAGTGAAACAATCACTTATCTTAATCTCAGTCAAATATATTCTTGAAGTGATAATCATATCCCCATAACGTACTCGTTCTTTCTCTCGGATATACTGTACAGTATACTGTACAAAGCTGCAATTTTGTTTTATCTCCATTTCTAACTTGCCACTACTGTATTCACTTATTAGTACTACCTAATTTTTTTGCCTCCATGTTTTCAAAATTTAATTCCTTAATCAAAGTCTATAACCTATTTACCTTGCTACAAAGTTTTATTTGTGCATTTTATAATGCTGTACAGCCTTTTATTTCTCCTATGATTGTGCCTTGGTTTCTGGCAAGCATTTATCCTTTAATTCTCTCACAAATCCTACAAACTCACTCAAATTTTATACATTCTTAGAATTATTTTCCTATCATTTTTGGTTCTGCAACTAGTGTCTTCTTGAAACATTCTATCAAGTCCATTGCTTCATCAGCCTCAGACTCTAGTGTTGACACCCTACTGATAGTTTAATCATGCTATGCTAACCTTTTATCAATATTAAAAATCCAGTAGTTTTAGTACATAACCTCCTGGAATTTATTTCAACCATTTATTACATATATTAGTAAATAAATACAATACAGTACTTCCTGTTATTTTTTTTTTTTTCTGTACAGTAGCGTACATAATCGCCAAATGTTGACTTGTACTGTTTAGCAAACTGTTTTTGTGTATGTATAAATATTTACTAAACGTATTTAAACATCAAAAGTTGAACTAGTTAGTCTCAGATACAACAAATAATGTAGTTTTTGCTCTTAAGGTGTGGGTCTCCTGCAGCATTATGTTCAGAATGGCAAGACAAGGGATGACATCATCAAGGCAGCCTCCAGGCTCTGCATGTCTTTCAAGATTGAGACACCACGAGTGTGCATGGGCATCATATATCTAATGGCAGTAAGTCATTGAAGCTTCTGTATAGTATCTTGCTGTTACATCTGCAGATTTTTACCTATTTTATTTTTGTAGCTAAGACAAGGTTATCCTACAGCTCTCATTTGGGTAAACTATTCAGCAAGGTTTCTAGCTTAAGTCACTTTTTCCAGATTTGTAATTCAGCATACATTTCACAAGTTCTTGTATTTAGTAACTAAGTCTATTATGGTATGTTTCAGGATGAAGTGGTTTATGTAGTAGAAAAATTAGTAATGAGTCCAGATGAAATATGTGGCTTTCTGATCGGAGATATTTGTGGCACACCATACAACCCGTACCATGAGTGGCGCGTGGCCTTCCCACCTGTGCCCAAACCTCCGATACCTCAACCTCAACCACCACCAGTAAGTTGGATTAACTTTATTACAGTGCTGGTGTATATGCAAATAAATATTTATTGATAAAATTTATTGAAAATGTTCTTCCTTTGTTTACTGAAATATAACCTTATTTTCCCATAAGATATTCAGAGTAAATCCAAATAATGTGACATAATGGTCAATGTTTTAAATACTCGTAATAAGGTTGATACAGTATATTAGACATAAATTTATATCATAAATTACATTATAACTGTAAACAAATTATATAAATGTAAAAGAATACAGAGCTGCAATCTGAAAAAAGATATTAAGCCTAGCCATGTTTGATCATAAGAAAATGTGTTCCATGTTTCTGAAGCCTTATCATGAAATCCACATAAGTCAGCATGTTGATTGTTAAGCGAAACAAAAATATTCAGAATAAGTATCTGCTGTAATTTTAAATATGATTTTATTTCTATATAAAATGTAATTAAAGCAGCGATTGTCTATGGGAAAATGAGCCATAGTCTTTAAATACAGTATACTGTATACTAAACATGACTGAAGTAAATATATACTAAACCAGCTAACACTGCCATGTAAAGAGTCAACCAGGAATCTGGCAATACCATCACCCTCACACACTCACCTGGTGCCCCCTTTCAATATACAGCATCTCCTGAATCCTGTTTTTTCTTTGAGGGGAAAGCCCCCATGCAGTTATTTGCATTGTCTTGTTTACTTTCTTGTTGCTTTCCCAGTGAGAGATGATCGTAAGAATCCCCTGCTCTATCTGCCTCTTCCAGGGGATCAGGTTCTGGCTCCTGTCCTCAGTAGACCAACAGGAGGCCTGTGAATGATGTGTCTTAGTAATAACAAGCTCTCCGAGTGATGTAGCTTTGGGGAGTCACCGTGTCTCACCCAGAAAGAGACATCTCATTACAGTACATGCATGCTGGTATTTTTTTTTAGCTAAGTGACTGGCTTTTCTGCGTATACTTTTGTTTACTGTTTGGTATTTTGTCTTATGCTCTTAGCAAGTGTGTTTGATAGTTATCTTGCATGTGTCATGATTTTTGGGAGGGCTTCCTTTGGTGGCTCCCTAAACTACCCACAGTGTTAGCACCATGCCTAAGCACCCCATTAGGCCCCTCCGCAGCTCCGCCTCTTCAAGCAGGTCGGCCCAGTCTGCTACACAGCTGGTTCAGTTTTCTCCTCCACTCTTTGCGTCTGGTCTTTTTGACACGGGTTTATTACCAATTGTATGGTGATCAGGTGGCTTTGTTGATAATGTCCCACCTGAGGGCTTCATCTCGGCGACAGTATGAAATTTCCTGGCGTTCTTTCTACCATTTTCTCTCTTCGTAGGTTATCTTCTACAGTATTTCTGATCGGATTGTCTTGTCCTTTTTGCCTTGGCTTTCTCAGAATTGTCATTTGATGCCTAATATTGTACTGTCACCTCATATCATGTGGAACTGGTGGAGCTGCTCTAGGTTGCGTTCGGGGTGGATGTCACTTCTGCCCCGTTCCATAAGCTTTCTCATGCTTTGTTTCACCTCCAGCCTGCTCATGCACCACCTGAGCCGTCCTGGTCCATGGACAGGGTGCTCTCCCATCTTTCCTCTCCTCGGTTTATGGTGGCCCCTTCAGTGCAAGATTGTTTTTCCAAGGCTTTGTTTCTGTTGGCATTGGTCTCTGGAGGTCGGGTCGGTGAGCTTCATACTTTTCTCCAGCGCAGGGGTTTCTGCTCTTTTGGTCCTGGTGGTCGGTTTGTTCGCTTGCAGCTGTCTCCTTCTTTTCTGGCGAAGAATGAGACAGCTGCTTTCTGAAGGGGTCTTTGGTTGGTTAGCCCATGAGTGCATCATGTGTTGTGTCCAGTTGTGGCTCTTCACCGCTATCAGCACGCTTCGGCTTCGGTGGCTGAGGATGTGCTTTGGGTTGATCTGGTTTCCCTCGTTCCCTGTTCCAGGGCTAGTTTCTCCCAGGTCATCCGCAGGGTTATTAAGTCTAACTATCCTGCGGTATATCCTCATGCCCATGATGATAGGAAATTTGCTGCATTGCCTGCCATGTTTGGCAACGTGTCCTGGGCTGATATTCGGGCGTGGAGATTTTGGAGGTCGAACAGGGTCCTGGCCGCCTGTTATTTGGTTAACGTTCCTGCTCCTGAGCATTCCTGTGTTGCTTTGGGTTGCAGGTTGCAGCCAGTTGTCTCAACTTTGCGTTGAGGAGTATGTGGCGGCCTCCTCCTGGGTACGTCCCTCTTTTCCTTATCTTTGGGTATGTAGCTCCAGGGAGCCATAGGGACTTCCCACAGAAAACCAGCATTGAATGTAATGAAACACCATTTTCTGGGTGAGCCCCGGAGGCTCCCTGGTAACCCTCCTTTTCTCCGGTCGGTGGTTTTTCACATTATTTGATGCTTAGCTTCCGAACTGGAGTGCTAGGTAACCGGTGCAGGGAGGGGAGGGTTGCACGGATGAGCGCTATGACGGTGGAGTGTGACGTTTGATTGTTTCCTTGTGTCCTTGGGATTGGAGAGAGTTCTGCCCTCTCTTTTTTTTTTTTTTTGTTGTATTTTCTTACCATTTGGGGTTTGTTTTATTATGCCTACCTTTCTGGGTGCCTAACCCCAGTCGATGGCAGATAAGGAAAAATCCCCAACCACAGGGGAGGTTTTCCAGGGTCATTGCTCCCTGACACCTCTCTGAGGAGGCCAGGTTTTGGCTCGTGGTTCCTGGTAGGCTGAACTCCATAGACCAACAGACTAAGGTGTGGTCTAATATATCACACATTAGCCCGATAGCTCCAGGGTGCCTCTGGGGCTCACCCAGAAAATGGCGTTGAATGTAATTCAATGCCATTTTCTGGGTGAGAAAATTGAACACTTTTTTTTTTTTTATATATAGTAGTGCTATTTTGATTTCTAGTGGGTCTTTCTTGGTTCTATTGCTATCTCTGATCGAGGCTTCCTTTAGAATCTCTGTGGCTAAAGGAAGCTTCTGATATCATTAGATGGCTATTGTGTTGTGTTTCTTAAGGTCTGGACATTTACAGGCATTGGGAAGCTACTTAGGACTCATCAGAAAAAAAACATTTCATCACATTCAACACTGGATTTTTTGCTGAAGGTTTTGGTCATAAACCCAAGACTCCTATTTGCTTTGTTGCAAAACAGTATGTGTTTTGTTTTATTCTCTATGAGAGTCAAAGCATTTTGAATTTACATATCCTTTCACTGCAGGACGGGATGCCGACACTGAAGATCCTTCATCTTTCCGATACACATTTTGATCCTGAATACAAAGCAGGATCGAATGCTGATTGTGGTGAACCATTATGCTGTCGTGCAAGTTCTGGCTCTGTCAAATCCCCAGACAAGAGAGCCGGATTATTTGGAGATTATCGCAAGTGTGACACACCATTGAGAACCATTGAAAGCATGCTGGAAAATATTGCTTATCTACATCCTGTGAGTGTTATTAACACTGAAGTTTTTTATAACTTACTAACTAGACTAACATGCATTATATCTCCTTATGTGAAGACTATATATTGACACACCATTTACCCAATAATATTAGATGCTACATATCCTCACACACAATGTTTGACCATTGAAGTAACACTTTATGTAACACATTAATTATTTATCTGTAAATGCAGGTACTCTGCAGTTAAAGATTGCATTCTTAAGTTTTCCACTGTCTCTGACCATTCTCAATTAAAGTTTAAATGTCTGTGCATGTACTTAAACCTAATGCTTCTGTTCATCTAGGAGTAAATAGGTATCTGGTAACTAGTCGTCTCTTGTGGGTCACATCCTAAGAAAGCTCAGTCATTGCCAAGAGGAGCCTTGACAAACCTTACAGTTTTTTTGTTTCTGGCAATGGGGAAACAATATACTGTAATGTATATGACAGTTTGAATAATTAATTTTTTATGTGGAGAGCCCCTTCGGCTACCCAGAGCTATACAGGGCTGATGTGTATATATTAGACCATGTTACAGTCAATTGATGGAATTCTAGGCCTACCGGGAAACCACGAGCCAGAACCTGGCCCCTTAGAGAGGCATAAGGAGCAATGGCCTATAGACACCCCCATGTACAATTGTTGGAAGCAGTCTATATCTGCCATCTACCAGGTCAGGCACCCAGAAAGGTAGGAATCCCAAAACAAACTACAGCTGGTTAAACATTGCAAACTGAAAACCAAACGGCAAGCAGAAATCCCAAATCATAAAACAAGCAAACAAGCATGATGTCACCACAGCTGCCATGCCAGTCTATGCAATTTCCCCTCTCTGGAAAGTGAAAGGGGAAGAGGGGAACTCTTCTCCCTCCCAGGGACGGGGAAGTTGCACAGACAGCGGCAAGGTGGCTGTGGTGATGTCATGCTTGTTTGCTTGTTTTCTGATTGGGGAGTTCTGCTTGCTCGTTCGGCTTTTGATTTGCAATTTTTAACCAGCTGTAATTTGTTTTGGGATTCCTACCTTTTTGGGTTCCTGACCTGGTAGATGACAGATATAGACTGCTTCTAACTACATGGGGTGCCTATAGACCATTGCTTCTCGTGCCTCTCTGAGGGGACCAGGTTCTGGCTTATGGTCCCCGGTAGGCATGGAAGTCCATCGATTGACTGTTGCCATAGTCTAATATATACACATCAGCCCAGTATAGCTCCGAGGAGCCTCCAAGTCTCACCCAGAAAGTGGCGTTTCATCACATTCAACGCTGTTTTTTTTTTTTTCAGGACATTGACTACATCATCTGGACGGGTGATCTTCCACCACATGATATTTGGAATCAGACGAGAGAGAGTAATTTGATCATTTTGAGATCAACTGTTCAGCAGCTCATGGATTACTTTCCTTACACCCCAATATTCCCAGCGCTGGGTAACCACGAAGCTGCTCCTGTAAATAGGTGAGATGGCCTACAGTAATCATTTGTCTTGATGCATACAAGATCACTACCTTGATCCAGTAGCCTGTATGGATCCACAGAAACTCCTGCTTGTTAGTCTAATGGTCTGTTTACCTGCCATGACCAGAAACTTTCCAGATAGTTTGGTCATATAATTGGGACGAGGGTTAATGGCAAATCTAATTTGAGCCATCACCAAGAAACAATCTTGCTATCGTACTCAAAAAAGAAAATTAGACTGAAAAAAATACCCCTTCAAACACAAATCTTAATCAAATGACATGTTTTATCTCAGTTAACTACTGACTGGGATAATAAGCATCTACTCTGACTGCCATCAAATGACACACATACCACAACAGAATAGGATGAGGATGATAACAAGCTCACTTGTTATCCTAGTCATTAAAGCATCCTGGAACAGGACAGGAGCTTTTTTTTTCACATGGAAGAGAAAGATCATGGGGTGGAGAGATGAATAAAACACCAATGTTACAGACCACCGTCCACAATCATGGGGAGGAGAGGTGGCACAGGGAACACATAGGGATATCTTAGATTAGTCAAGTACTGTATCTGGCATTGAAATTATGGTTCAAACTTCAGAACCCATTGGCTCTAATTTTTAAGCAGGAAAGGTCAGAAAAAGTAGATTATGGGCACAGTGCAGTGCAGACTGACTGTCACCCTATGAACGAGCTGGGAGAGATGAGCCATGTGTTATAAGTTCTCTACAGTTTTGTGCATCTGCATTCCTTTTTCAGGATTCTGCCCGGCTCTTTTTTTTTCTTTTCCTTGGCTCTGTTAACAATAATTTCTATTTGACTATCTCCTATATTGCTTTTGTTGCTTCTGTGACTGGTTATAACCTCCTCTACCTGTCATGTAAATCATGCACATTTGTCTTTAACCTGTCATGTAAATCATGGACATTCTCCTCCCTGCATCTACTGTATATCATTTTCTCAAATCCTCTACTTCTTTCACGATTGCTTTGCAGATGTCATAACTCCCATCTAGATGCTTTCTCAGATCAGCTATGACCTGAAGTTTACCTGTCTGCCTGTTACAGTACACTTTTCCTATATTTTCTAAATAGCTCTTTCTAGTGGCTCAATCTATTTTGTTATCTCTCCCATCTCCACTCTATTTGTATTTTCTCCTCTTTCTCCATACTTAAGCATGGACAAAGCCAAATTGCATAAGTTTTTTATTTGTCTTTGAGTTTGTGCAGGTTGTTGTTGCTCTCTTTTCTTACAGACCTTACAAAATATAATGTAACTCCCTTGTTTATTATGCATCAAGATAAATCAAGTGGTAAACAATTCACTTTTGCAAACACAGTGGTAGACGGTTGGAACATGTTAAGTGAGAAGGTGGTGGAGGCCAAAATCGTCAGTAGTTTCAAAGCGTTATATGGCAAAGAGTGCTGGGAAGACGAAACACCACGAGCATAGCTCTCATCCTGTAACTACACTTGGGTAATTACTTCAAGATGCAGCGATTAACAAATGGTTTGGCTAGGCTTCTAGAGGAAGCAATTTCAATGAAATACATAGGAAACTGAAATAATGCATTGATGACAAATTAAGTAAAGCAGCTGGAATTGCATGACCAAAGCACTTTATGGTATAATACTTACAAGTAGGTTAGCACAAATACAGTTAATCATTTACATACACATGAAGGTATACACATCACATGTGTAAACAAAAGTACATGTGTAATTTTTTGGAAAGTAGTTGCTTTCCAAAAAGTTTTCTCAGTACTATGCTGTATTTATAAAGTGCGGTATTAAAGTAAAAGGTTTTTGATATGCTGTGTTTATATGCAATAACTTTCTTTTGTTTTGTTTGCAGTTTTCCTCCGCCCTTCATCTTGGGAGATTATAGCATCAGCTGGCTGTACGATGACCTGGATCGACAGTGGCGACGCTGGTTGCCATCAGACACTTCTCCGTCAGTTAGAAAAGGAGCTTTTTACTCTGTTCTTGTTCGACCTGGCTTCAGAATAATATCACTAAACATGAATTACTGCAATAATAAGAACTGGTATGTAGTGGTGTTATTCTTTTACGGTGTTGTTAATATTACAGTACTGTGGAATATAATTTATTACCTGATTTTTTAAGATGAGGAGACGACAACCTTTCGGTCCGTTCTGGACCATTATCAAGTCGACAGTCTACTTGATAATGGTCCAGGACGGACCGAAACATCATCGTCTCCTCATCTTCTGGTGGATGGTTTGGTCATCATATCTTCAGCCAGGTTATTATGACTCGTCGTCTGCATTGGTAAAAGTGCTTTCAAATTTATTGTGAGTCTTTATTGTACTGTAGTGCAATGTTTATTAAAAAAAATATTAGCTTTACACCTTATACAATGCAGAATATTATGTTAATCTCAGGTGGCTACTGATAAACTCAACTGACCCAGCACAGGAGCTTCAGTGGTTCATCTATGAGTTGCAGGGAGCAGAAGACAGAGGAGAGAAGGTGCACGTCTTGGGCCACATTCCCCCCGGCCACCATGACTGCCTCAAAACTTGGAGTCATAATTACTACACTATCATTAACAGGTAAACTTCCACTTTTAAGCACACATTATTATTTTAAGCTTTCTGTGTATTCATCACTGTTCATTCCTAAACAACTTCCTAATGCTTATAAAGATGCTTGATAATGCGCAACAAAAACTACAATTGAAGAGAAAAGATAATCTAAGTGTTTTTACGATGATTGTGGGCTTCCTCTAAGACGATTAGAAACTGAATGAGGGCAGAAACATAAAACAAGGTCCCAACTCATGGTACATAGGATCATGTGAACTTGTATAAGTGGCAAAAAATCACGTACTCTTAGTCTGACTTTAGTTTAAAGAAATTAAATTTATGTATGGAACTTAATTAATTTCTTAACTTTCTCAGATATGAATCAACCATTACTGCTCAATTCTTTGGACATACTCACTTTGATGAATTTGAGCTGTTCTATGATGAGTACGAACGCCATCGTGTGACAAGTATTGCTTACATTGGACCATCTGTAACATCTTACTATAAACTTAATCCAGGCTACAGAATATACACTATTGAAGGAGACTATGCAGGATCCCAAAAGGTTGGTTTTGAGTCGACTATTATTTGAATTGCTAATTATGCATTATTAATTCAATAATTAATTTGTTTTCAAAATATAGTTGAAGAGATTTTGTGTGTTTGCATCAGGGAAAGAGAAGCATACATTTTTCTAAATAACTGTATTGTGTTGTGAAAAGTGAGGAGAGGTCAACCCACTACTGAGGCAACTCAACCCAAAAATATCAAAATACATACATACATACATACATACATTCATACGTACATACATATATATACATATATACAGGCTGCCTGCCCCTGACAAAATATAGTGAATTACTATTATCTATGAATGGTATTGCATTATTAATGAAATACTTTTCAAGTTGTTGGTTTACACCAGTTGCTCTCAACATCCACTCACTCTCAATTGACAACATTGGTACAATGCCACACATAACTGGGACCACTTCCTTATTCCTAATACAATACTGTATAGCTAACACTACTTTATATTTATCCAACAACTCCTTGCTTGTGCATTCGCGAATATTGCTTCCACTACTGAGAGGCAGACAATGAGTTTGATTCCATTGCCTGGCAATATATTGCTGATTTTACTGTCTCCAGCCCTTGCCCATGGAACCATACTCTCACTCTATTGTGTTCACTGCTTGTTTAAATAAGGCTGTTGACCAGACCACACACTAGAAGTTGAAGGGACGACGACGTTTCGGTCCGTCCTGGACCATTCTCAAGTCGATTGTCGTCCTGGACCATTCTCAAGTCACAATCGACTTGAGAATGGTCCAGGACGGACCGAAACGTCGTCGTCCCTTCAACTTCTAGTGTGTGGTCTGGTCAACATACTTCAGCCACGTTATTGTGACTCATCGTCTAAATAAGGCTATTTACTGCATGGTGTTTGGATCTGGAGTTTGTTATGATTCTGATTTATGGTAGGCGATGATATACAGTTTGTAAGGTAGAGTTGAATCACTTAACCCTAGACACAGATCATATTATTCATGCTGTATTGTAGTTTGTTTTAACACATGTTGAAGTGGAAGATAAACTGCTGTAAATGGTAAGAAGGTTAATTTGTCTAACATTTGTCAACAGCGTGTGTTGGACCATGAGACGTGGGTCATGAATCTCGATGAGGCCAATAGAGATGGAATCCCAAGATGGTACCAGCTATATTCAGCTAAAAGAGCTTACAACATGAGAAATTTACTTCCAGAAGAGTGGAATGGTTTAGTTTATAAGATGGCTTTAGATGATGATCTCTTTGAAAAATACCTCAGGTATGTCAAATATTAATAGTTCAGCTAATCTTTTCTTTCGGGTTTTTGAAATAAGTTTTTATTTATTTATTGCATTACTAATTTACCTTAAAAATAATGTGAAGTGTTTACATAGCATTTAGGCCATGGACTAATTACCTTTATTGGGTTAGGTTATTCGGTGGCATGCTTTTCCCCAGAAAATAAATCTTCCAAGTTTTATATCCAACTCCTAGTTACTGCAGGGTGAGCAGAGGCAAATTGAATGAATCTTGCCCGGATGTTTCACAGTGTTCAGGAGTCAATCCCTAGCATTTTTATGAAGTAAGTATTTTTCAAGGACTACACCATAGGGTTGCCCTCATCATATTTTTACCCAAGTGATAATTATTTACCAATTTTAATATCTATCTGTACTCTTCAGATTTTATTGGAAGAACTCTGTGGCACGAGAAGAGTGTGATGCAGAGTGCAAGAAGCGAATGTTGTGTGATTTGAAATCTGGCAGGTCTAACGACCGCAAGAATACATGCGCCAAGATTAACAAACAAATAGAAAACCGAGAATGGAAGGATTGGAAGAACTGGATCTTCTCCGGCCTAACTATCACGTACGACTGGTTTACCAATTTGTTTACTTATATTTAATATGCATGCTTTCTGCATGGTAAAGAAAGGGGAACTTTGCATGGAATTATTGTTTTCCAGAAACATTTTAGTTTGTATTTTGCCTTTTATGTATTTGTATTTATATCATTGGAACTCTTTAAGTCATGTATATGTGATAGTTATTTTGTTTTGTTACAGAGCAGAAGGCAAGCATATTATACTGAAGAATACGATTGTCTTGTTTTACATTCATATCTAACTTACTTTTGACAGTGCTTAAATTTTTCAAAGCATTTTAGATACAGTATTTTAAAATTGGGATATATATACAGTACCTAATGCATATTTCTGATTTTGCATCATTGCATGACATATTTTGCCTAGATAAACATAATTGATGTTTTGTTTTTTATGATCAAACATCAACAAATGATCAAACATAATTGATCATAATTGATCCTGATCAAACATAATTGATCATAATTGATCCTGATCGAACATAATTGATATTTATTTTTCACAAAGCACAATAAGATTTTGTATAAATCTTTGTGCTTACATACAATACAGTCATATTAGTACATATAGTAGATAGTTACAGTAGAATTTATAAGGATAAAGTACTGTATTAAGTTAGTTATATTCTTGTAAAGTCACTAATGCACATAGTACTTTGAGAAGGTTTAAAGCTAACAAAGTGTTTAGGGTATACGTTTGTACAGTATTTGCAAGAATTTGGTAGCTGATAAATGATTAAATTTTGAGCAAAGAGTTTAAACTGGTCGATGCTTTGTAGTTAATAATGTTAGTTGGGTACTGATGTGAAAATTTTATTCCGTACTGTCAATTATAAAATTAGCAGCCTACTAGGAAAAATTGGCATTCGTAAAATATTATACGGGTGAGGTAGTTATTAGTTTATGTACTGATCAGTTAATTATAGTACAAGGTTCTGGGAAATTATGTTGCACAAGGTAAATCTAATTTAAAACCACAGGGTTGCATAATGAGGATAATAATAGTAGGTGGGATATTACAATAGGATAATTAGATGCTTCTTTTAATTTCATATTATGTATATGTTGAACTTTGAAATATTGAAAGATATAGTACCTTACTTGTTGCGTAATAATACACACCTTCTGGTGGAGTTTAGTGTTGTATCAACAACACTAACCTGCACCAGAATGTAAAAGAAAAAGGCCTTGGTTAATGATCCACCAGTCATTGAAAGCTACTTAAAAGTAGGAATTGTGGTAAAAAAACATCACTACTGGGAAAGCCCCCAGCACACAGCTCCAAAAGTCATCCTGGTGCTAAGACATCTCTCATACCAGGAAAGGTCAAAATCTCAGGACTACCAACTCTGCATATGAGACATGATTGGGCAAATCTCTTCAAGACTTTTAAAAACTTGAGTTAATCAGGAGATATTAATCCAGACCACTTCTTTAAAATATTCAACAGAACTAATACGAGCGGTAATAGTTTCGTGCTCATCTAGCCTCTATGTAAGACCAGAAGATTCTTTTCGCCCCATAAAGTAATGAACCCATGGACTAACTTAACTGCCAAGGCTGTATATACCCAGATAGTGCTACAGTTCAGAATTCAACTGGAAAAAATCCACAAGAAAATGGGGTAGGGGGAATGGGACATTCTGCAGGCTTCCAAATTTTTGTCCCATTCCAGGTCATTAGTTGAAGTGATTTTAAGGAATATATCTTGGTATGCAGTATTGATCCTAATGTTTATTTTTCAATATAATGTTCCATATATTTCAGAGTTGCTCATTCATGTTTATAATATCTCAGGTCAGTGGCAACTTGGTGGTTTTGGGGCTGATGTGCACTATCACCGTGGAACATTGATTAATCTGAAACTGGTATCCCTGTCTGCTGTTTCCATAGCAACAGTGTCGCCATGGAACATTGATTAGTCTGAAACTGGAATGCTTATCTGCCGTTTCCATAGCAACAGTGTCACCTTGGAACATTGATTAATCTGAAACTGGTATGCTTATCTGCCATTTCCATAGCAACAATGTCACCATGGAACAATAATTAGTCTGAAACTGCTACCCGTGTCTATTTCCATAGCAACAGTGCCACCATAGAACATTGATTAATCTGAAACTGGTACCCCTGTCTGCTGTTTAAATAGCAATAGTGTTACCATGGAACATTGATTAATCTGAAACTTATACCCTCCTCTGCTGTTTCCATTGCAACGCTCAGCATGGAATATTGATTAGACTCAAATGTTTCCCCAATATACTGTTTCCATAGCAACACTGTTCACACTCATGTACACTTTATATTTGTAAGACAGGAAATATTACATGTTTCAAGTAATTCATGATTGTTTCATTGAACTTTTATTACATTACAAATATTGTACAGTAATGCATTATTTTGTATTGATAAATTTATTTTAATACTACAAGAGTATTTATTTCAACATTAAATTTTAAATATGCATTTTATTCATAACCAAGTAACTGAACATTGCTTCAGAGACAAATGAAATTCAGAAATATTTTGTAATTATATACAGTACAGTACTGTATATGCAAAACTACCACTTTGAAAATGAAAAGTAAAGTCTTATCACTTCCAAAACCTTTCAGGTCCTTTTTCAAAGGCAAAATGGAAAAATAGGATGTTGTTGTTGTTGTTATAGATTCAGCTACTCGGAACAAGTTCCAAGCAGCACGGGCTATGGTGAGCCCGTAACTTACCTGGCACAGGAGCGGGGCAAGTAGCACAGGCTATGGTTAGCCTCGCGAAAAATAGGAAGAAATGAGCAGTTATATAAGACTCATTATAGGAACCAAAATGGGGGTGAGGTGGAGAGCGCAGAGATCAAAGAAAGAAGTGTCATAAACTATGTAAACAGAAGACAGTCGACAAGAACTAGGGATTAAGGAGTGAAACGAGGGAGAGGGAGGAAGAAGACATAGAAAATAATAAAGTATTATAGGATAACAACAGGAAGAATTAATGTCAAAACAATATACAGTAGACAAAATCAAGTTAAACATTTTATACCTATAGTAGTGCAGAGCAGAGAAATCAGAAATTATGTACAGGAATCTATTATAACTTACAACAAGGAGCCCATAATACATCACCATGCTGCAGAAGGATGAAGAAAAAGGACTTGAGAGTCAGAATTCACCAGTCATTGAAAATTGCATATCAAGTGGACGCCACGGTAAAAAAAAAAAGCCTACCGAACCTTAAGAATAGTTAAATGAAACTTTGACTTCAAGGAAATGAAAGTGGTTATTCATCTCTACAAATCTCTGGTGTGTCTCCATTTGGGCTACTGTATCAAAGAATGGTGACCTCATCTTTAGAAGGACATACTGTACTGTATATGCTTTGGAGAAAGTTCAACACTGACAAAAATTATCCCAGAACTAAATTCTTTCAAACCAGATATGACACATGATCTCATAGAAAGTTTTAAAATACTGAATGGAATACATTAAAGGAGATTCATCCAAACCACTTCTTTAAAAGGTCACATGTACCACATACAAGGGGCAACAGCTTTAAGTTCAACAAGCCACAGTGTAGGACAGATAGCAGGGGATGCTTTTTTCACCCATGAGGTAATAAACCCATGAAACTGCATACCTGTCAAACTGTAAATGCCAAAACATCATTACAGTTCAAAATCCAATTTAAAAAATCCTCAGAAAAAATGGAGGGGACCTTTGACAAGCTGCCAGCTTCCTGCCTGCTTTGAGGCCACTAGATGGAAGCCCTCAGGTAAATATTAATAATTTAATTGAACAAATCCACAGGAGCCTTAATGAAGGTTCGAACCTATGCACTGGGTGTTCCCAGGCACGCTCTATTTGATTTGTTCATTGATGTACGTATCATGTTAATGTGATGACAAGACCACACACTAGAATGTGAAGGGGTGACGACGTTTCGGTCCGTCCTGGACCATTCTCCAGTCGATTGTGATGAGGAAGTAGAAACAGGCAATAAATTGAAACGTCGTCGTCCCTTCACATTCTAGTGTGTGGTCTTGTCATCATACTTTAGCCACGTTATTGTGTCTCATCGCCTGCATCATGTTAATGTGATTTGTCTGTGTATTGAAGGATAATTTAATTATTATTGGAACAATGAAAGTCAAGATATTGGAAGTTTATATCAATACAGTATTTCAGGAGGGGTAAAGAGCTGTTGATTAGGCTGAAAATTAAAACAGGAGAAATGCCAAAATATATTCATATTTCGTAAGATAAGAAAACCAAGTTTGCCAAAAATTTGTGCAGTATTTTAGCGTTAGGTTAAGGTATAGAATTAAGGTCCTTCAATTGTGATGCATAAAGAACTTTAACTTGACATGATAAAGTACACTGTACTACTCTGGTCTTAAGAGTGAGCTGTAAGGTAAGGTAAGGTAAGGTTCAAAATTATGCTTTTATAACTCTATTTTCACACACACACACACACTGTTATAATTAAGATTTTAAGCCGAGACTTCCAAACTGTCATTAATAAAAAAGAAAGGAATCATGAGAAAGTATTTACCCAGTATTATGCAGATGCTGCTGCTTTCAAGAACAAAAGTGGAAATACTGTATATGAAATAAAAGATTAGGTACAGTATAACTTTAGGTAGTTTGGACATTTGAACATTTGTATACAGTTAGAGGACAGATTCAAATCAGTTTTGTCAGGGGACAGGCATCCTGTGTATGTTTATACATACACAGAATGTGTATGTATAAACATACATATTGCTCATATTGAGGTCCTTCCCAAGGTCAAAATACTGATCCACCCTAGGATGTTACCCCCACAACAGTTAACTTACTCCCAGGTACCTATTTTCTGCTTGGAGAGCAGAGGCATTAGGTGAAAGGAAATGTGCCGAACCTATTGTACAGTATAGCAATAGGTTAATCATATAATGGTCATTTGTATAACTAACCATTCCACTGACAGAATTTCTCTTACTGTATGTATTTGATACATTGTTAATCTCTTTTAAGTGATGTACTTTAATTATCAGTACAATAAATTAACTTTGTGTTATTAACACACAAAGCTATTTCACAGTTTGTAAAAGGCATTATACTGTATTACAGGTCCCTAGCAGTGGCTGTACCAGTAGCTGCCATCGCCATACCAAAGCTCATACTTTTTTTCCTTCTCTGACCTCGTCATTCAAGTTGACCTTGACTGGCATGGCTCCGACTCAGTCAATTTGACTTCATAAGAAGATTAACTGATTATTTGAAGATTAGTGCAAACAGAACTATATATAGCCTTCAAGTAAATTGTGTGAATGGTGTACACGTGTATTTATTGTGTGAGTTTTTTCCTGTAGTTATGTATATATACATATATTGACTAAAAATAAATACTAACATTGATGTGTACTGAGACAGACTGGATTTTATTTTATAGGAAATAATTGCATTTCTTTATATAATTGCACAACTCTGTAAATAATACTATAAGATGGTTAGTTATTTAAATTATACATGCACACATACATTATACTTTCCCTATTTCCCATTGCCATGGGGGTGGGAAATCACCAGCCCAGGCAAAAGGGAATATTATACTGATAGTGAAAGCAAGTCAAAGATATTAAAACACGTAAAGATAACTTGTCCATTCATAATAACACTAACCATATACAGTATAGCACCACAGATACAGTAAAGGAGCACCACCACAATGCAGCAGTCATCCACAGTAGCACCCCACTACATCATAAAAACAGGTGTATATGTCTCATGAATTTTCATATATAATAGGAACAAATACATTCACTCTCTCTTCTTATTTACTTGGATTTACCTGAGGACCACCATCTCTACTGGCCTCGCCGGAAGTATGAAGTTAGTAGCTTGCCAAAGGACCATCATTATTACAGGGGATATTTTTTCAGCTGCATTTTAAATGAGTTCTGTACTGTCTTGGCATTTATGGCTTTGACAAGTAAGGGTTTCCATGAGTTTATTACCTTATGTGCAAAAAATCATCTGTTGTCTGCCTTAGTGTGTCTGTTGAAATTGAAGCCATTACCTCTTGTGCGAGTTATATTGGACCTATTGATATATTTCTTTAGTGTTTACTCAGATATATTTCTGTTAGTGTCTACTCTAAACATTTCTCAAGTACTGTTCATTAATCCACTTATATAATACACTTATAAGTTGACACACTTATAAGCCCATGATTAAGACCTTAAATGGATTAGATCCAAAATAAGTACCACCCTTACCAAGTACATTAACACCATAAACCTCTCTTAGAGCATCTTTTTCCTACCTAGCTTTTTTAACTATTTACTGTAGTTGTTGACTGATAACCTATCAGTCAAACGATGGTAAACACTTTACCGTCTTTTGACTGAACCAACCAGACGTAAACTCTGGCAAGAGCCACATCTAGTCACCTAAAGTTGAAGTTAGAAACTCAAACCTTCCAGGGTCTTAATGCACCACTAATACATACTAAAAACAACCTAATTGTTTTATTTAAAGTTTGCCCAAAATGCACTACGTATTAGTGACTTTATGCATTGTACATATCTTACCTATGTGTCTTCCTTTGTTCATGTATCATATTTGTGTACACTTGTATAAATAAAATATTAATACAGTATTATTATTATTATTTGGTCACACTGTCATATGGCCACATTTAAAACTCATTTGCCCATGAAAAATCTGAAATGGGATTCTGATCTTATTTATTTTATTTATATAGAAGGTACATTATGTCAGAGCACATAAATGGTCACTGCTTGCATCACAAGCGGGGATGTTTCTGGCGGGGGAGAAAGAAACAATTGCGCAGCGCGTCCCGCGGCGTTGCGCGGGCAGTTTGGGGTCGTATAAATACGGGCGCACAATAGGGCTCCGCCTCACTCCGCCTGCCCTCGCCGCTGCCCTCGCAAAACTCACTGCTGCTCAGCGAGTCGTAAACACACAAGTTTAGCCCGCTCAACTGTTCTCACAGCATGGACCCTACAACAGTTCCTCGCGACAACGACTCGGAGTGACCCGTTAGGGGCGTCCTGCCCTTCTCAACATTTAAGGTAGTTTTGTGTTTTGTTGGCCCTCGGGACCAGTGTTTGTGTTGGCGCGTCAGACCAGTGTTTGTCTCTTTGTTGGCGCGCGCGCCCTGAAGCACGCCTGTTGGTTCAGCGTTGGTGACCAAATGCAGGTGCAGTGGTCCTAGAGGGGAAGGTGACCCTCGGTGTTATGGGGCACTGGGTTTTTCTCCAGTAGGTGGCTGTTATTTGAACCACTCTCGGGAGGAGGCCTGTCCTTCCCCATCTGCTCAGCCCTGTCCTTAAGCTCCCCACCCAGTCGACGTGAGGTATGCTGTTGGGCGACTTCTGTTATGCCGTTATTTATTATTTACGTTCTTTATATGTCCTTCCTTACAGTCTGACTGTTAGTCAGGGTGTGTTTCCTCACGCTACAATATTTACTGTAATTTTACCTTTGCTTTCGCCCCTAGCTTTAATTTTCCTGGATTTGTATTTTCATAAGTTCCTTAATTTATTAATGAATTTAATGGTGGCAAGCTGCATGTTTCTTTTGCAGGCTTTTCATTCAGGTCTGTTTTAACTTTTGCTTATTGCCTATAAGTTATTAGGTAAAGTCAGCTAGGTTAGGCTAGCTGCCGAGTCACAGGCCTCTGGCCACCAGCTTTAAGTTTAATGGACTAGTTTTTCCATAAGTTTCCTTAACTTTTTAACGAATTTTTGCAGTGTCAAGCTCCCTGTTTCTTTTGCAGGTTGTACATTTAGTTTTATTTAACTTTAGCTTATTGCCTTTAAGTTATTAGGGAAAGTCAGCTAGGTTAGGCTAGCTGCTGTGTCACAGGCCTCTGGCCCCTAGCTTTGTTTTCTTGGACCTGTTTTCCCACAAGTTTCCTTAATTTACTACTGAAATTTATGCAGTGTTAAGCTGCATGTTTCTTTAGCTGGATTTAAATTTAGGTTTGTTTTAACTTCTGGTCATTGCCTTTAAGTTAGTAGGTAAAGTTAGCTAGGTTAGGCTAGCTGCAGTGTCACAGGCCTCTGGCCCCTAGCTTCGTTTTCTGGATTTGTTTCCATAAGTTTCCTCATTTTCTTATTGAATTTTATGCAGTGTCAAGCTGCGTGTTTCTTTAGCTGGTTTTACATTTAGGTTGTTTTAACTTTTGGTCATTGCCTATAAGTTATTAGGTAAAGTCAGCTAGGTTGCTAGCTGCTGTGTCCCAGGCCTCCGGCCTCTAGCTTTAAATTTTCTTGGACTTGTGTTTTCCATAAGTTTCCTTAATTTATTATTGAATTTAATGCAGTGTCAAGCTGCATGTTTTCTTTTGCAGGTTTTACTTAGGTTTGTGTAACTTTGCTTGCCTATAAGTTATTAGGTAAAGTCGGCTAGGTTAGGCTAGCTGCAGTGTCTCAGGCCTCTGGCTCCTAGCTTTGTTTCATGGACTTGTTTTTCCATAACTTTCCTTTAATGAATTTTATGCAGTGTCAAGCTGCATGTTTTCTTTAGCTGGTTTTACATTTGTTTGTTTAACTTTTGCTATTGCCTTTAAGTTATTATGTAAAGTCAGCTAGGTTATGCTAGCTGCTGTGTTCACAGGCCTCCGGCCTCTAGCTTTAAGTTTTTATGGACTTGTTTTCCATAAGTTTCCTTAATTTATTAATGAATTTTATGCAGTGTCAAGCTGCTAGTTTCTTTGCTGGGTTTACATTCGTTTGTTTAACCTCTGCTTTGCCTTTAAGTTATTATGTAAAGTCAGCTAGGATGTGATAGTTGTCGGGATCGGGCCCCTTGCCTCTTGCTTTAAGTTTCTTCTGGCCCTGCATTTATGTTTAGTTTCCTCAGCACATGTCCTGCATTTTACATTGCCCTTGCTGCATGTTTTTACTTTACTGGTTTACAATTGTTTAACTTATGCTTCACCTTTAAGTAAAGTCAGCTAGGATGTCCTTACAGACAGTACATTAAGGTACATTCGGATGCTAACGAGAAGTTTAGCATGGCCTCACGCACGGTGTCAGGCAAAAAACTGGCCATTCGGCCTTCCTTTCGGCAAGCTCAAGCCAGTCAGTTAGCATGACGTCGGCCAGCTTGTGGTTGGCCAGCGCAGCCAGCATGCTGTTGGCCATAGGTCGCTAACGTTCTTTGGCATCCGGCCTTCTGGGCTATTTTACTCTTGTTCCTTCGCCATTGTTGTTTCCTACTACGTAATAGTATTCTATTTAATTTTACCTCATCTATCATCAGGTTAGGGGCCCCTTACCTCCAACCGCTATTCCTTCCACTGCGCTCTGCCCGCTTGGCGCTCACTGCCGGTTTCTTCTGTTCCCTTTATTCGCAGCCACGACAAGCCGGAACCCCCCCCCCCCCCACTTCCCACCCTACTGCGGCGAGGAAGAGAACGCGAGACGGATATTCCTCTGATCACCATCAACGCACGCAGCGGTGCCGGGATGCAGCCGCCCAGGGCCTACGTTAATACTATTATCTTCTCTTTATTTGCTGGGCTATATGGCAGTATTAATTTTATTCCGTACCGTTACTGTCATTCCAGTATTATTTTATTACAATATAAATTGTTATTATGGTTTGGCGTTGCTTTCTTAATTTCTTCCATTCTGCGGCACTTGCCGTCATCTGTTATTTACGATATTACATTGTATTTGTTACGACCCTGGGTTCTCCAGTGGAAACCAGAGGTCAAAATTGAGCTATTAAACTTCCTAAGTAGTACAGTTGGCGCATTTCGAATGGAAATTGTTTGTATCTTCCCTGCCAGACGTAAGACTATTATTGTTTCTCAAAGAGCATTTAAAGACTGAGCTGGGGGTTGATTATTAAATAATAACATAGGCACCAACTTTGCGTACTAATACTTTCTAATCATTCATAAAGTAACAATACGTTGCATAGGGGAAGATCTTTAATGTGCTTAGCTGCACGATCAATTAGGCCCCTTCCGGCACCACGACATGAGGGAGGCCAGGTGGTCGCGAGGAGCGCGGTCTTCTCTTGGCTGGTGGCGTGAGGTTAAGACCTACTCTGTGGCTGTATCCCTACTCTCCTTCCTTCTCCTCTTACTTATTTCCCTTACCTGAAGTTCCTGTATCCTTAAGCTAAGTACAGGGCATTAGTGAGTGTGCCTACTCTGGTAGTAACGATTGGTGAGACCTGGGGATAGTATTTTGCCAGTGTTTGGGTACCCCTAAGTGTTGTGTTTTGTATTAGGGTCCCACGTGGTTTCACTACCCTAAGCTGCATCCAGCTTCAGTGCTTATCCAGTAGTACTTTACCCTAGCTTGTTATTAGTGTAAACCTTGTATCCTGCCTACGTGGACCAAGGCTTTTAACGTAAGATAGTGTGGTAAAGTTATTATTATTATTGTTATTGGTGTGAGTGTATATGGGGGGTTGTTAACGGGTTAATAAATAAGTACATGAATTACAGAGTATCTCTTCTTCCAAGGTGGGAGCGCAGTGATCAACCCTTAGACGAACCTATTTGGTCTTGTAGCAAGTTAAACTACTGTGGATAGTTTATTTTGGGGGCCGGGCCTTTTAGCTCTCCCATATTTGATACTCCTGTCTTCTAACTACCTATACCCCTTAATAGTACCAGTACCCCATAGAAGCCCCACTCATATCAGTTGTAACAGTATTCTTCATTGTACGATTATTTACGACATTGTATTCTTATTATTATCCTTATTACAGTTACTGAATGGCAGCTCCCTGCCGTCGATTTCACTTTGCTCCTGTTCTAAAGATGTTGCCGAAGTTCACGGCGTACTAGCTGCGGCTCGCAGACGCTCATTGACAACACAAGACTACACTCAGCGGCCACTCAAGGCAGACTCCTTGGCTTCTATCCAGCCCAATCACCCGTCTGGAGGCAGAGATGGGATAGAGACCAAGGGTAATGTTCCCCGCTCACATTCTACATCCGATTAGGACACAAGCATGTTATAGATTTGGCTTTAAGAATTGGTTCTTATTCCATTTTATTGTTTATGTATATGTTGCTTAGTTGTTATACCCTTTCTTGGTATATGTATTGTTTATATTCAAGATTTATAGTGTTTCGTCTTACCCTGTTATAGTTGCTTTGTGCCTCCTTGCTGTTCTCCTCCCGGTTTTCTCCCACCTTTGCTCTTAGCAAAGGTACTTCCCCCTTCCGTTTGCTGGAAGATTCTTAGATTTGTTAGCCCCCCCTTCATTGCTACAGTATAGTTATTCGGATGCTCTTTATTCATCCAGGATTGTTAATTAAGGTTTCTCTTAATTCCTGCTGCCGGGCTCCCTCCCCCGTTTTTCGTCTCCGTATTGATTCAGCTAGGGTTTCCCTCTCGTCTGTGCTCTTGCCTGTCACGATATCACTGCACGCCGCTTCTGCCCACCCTTACTGCCTTATATCTTTCAGCCCGGGGAAGTGAGCTACGCGACAAAAAATCGACGCACGCTCCGACTGGACCAGGTATCGCTTACATGGTCAGGAATCAACACTCTTCGGATCCTACAAGCACAGATCCTACAAGCGCTCCTGTCACCAGGCGAGATTTCTCCAGGATCCTACGCGCTGCCCTCTCGGCGCTAGGCTTGACTTCAGATGACTAC